ATGGGGCACGTATTGTGCGACGGCAGGCTTGAATGACACCATAAACTAAAGATGCTCGTCGCCCAATGAGAAGCAGGACGGCCACTTTGATAGATGAGGAGCCGTTGCATGGGTACCGGGATATTCCAATAGGCATTATCTTAATGGTAATTTATTTGTGTACTCTATCTCATCGAGTCTGTTCTGACATATATGTACTACTACTACTGCTATTCACGGCAAACGCCACCAACGCTCGTGCAAGTCTTGGAGATTGACCTCATCGGGCCTGGTCAGATATGTGGTGACGTCCGACTCCGGGTCCGCATCGTAGTGGGATCTCCCGTTACCAAGATACCACAGCAGGCTGTTGCCCGACTCATCCAGGTATTCGTAGCTCCAGTCCTCCCACCGCGGCGAGCGTCGCACTGTGGTGATGTGCGCCGCGCTACCGGGCCAGAGGCCGTGGATGCGCGCCCCAGACCTGCCACCGTTGTACCACGATCGGCAGTTGTCGGAGAGGACGGTGCGGGCGAAGAAGGCGTCCGAGTACTGGACGAAGTCGCGCGTGGCCTTGACGGTCGGCTCGAGCGACTTTATGCCCTCGGCCGACACCTTGCGCAGGATCTTGGCCAGCTGGGTGATCTGGGTCTCGGCGCTGTGCGGGACCGTGCCCGAGGGGCCGCTGCCGTGAGGGCCCTGGAGGAAGAGCAGGTTGGGGAAGCCCGGGGTGGCGATGCCCATGTAGCTGTAGGGGAACCCGTACTGGCCGTCCGGGTCCCAGGTGTCGCTCAGGGTCTGGCCGTCGCGGCCGACGATGGGGAACTGCGGTGCCATGTCCCGGTTGGCGCCCGTGGCGCAGAAGATGGCGTCGACCTCGCGGTGCTTGCCGTCCACGGTCTCGATGCCGGTCTCGGTGAAGCGCTTGATGCCGGTGGTGATGAAGTCGACGTTGTCCTCCGTGATGGCCTCCAGGTATCCCGGGCCGGGGGTGAGGCGGCGGCAGTTGGGTGAGAAGTCGGGCACCATGTGCTCGAGCAGCTCCGGCTTCTTGGCCAGCCGCGTGCGCATGGCGTCGATGAACTTCTCGCGCATCTCGACGTTGCTCTCGCTGCCGCGTATGAAGGACTCGAAGCGCCGCCAGTACCGGCTCTCCAGCTCCTTCCTGTACCTGAGGTACACGTCCGGGTCCTCGAACGACTTCTTGGTCTCCTCCGGGATGAGCTGGCGTCCGAATGTCCTGATGTCGCCGGCCCAGGACGTGGCGATCCACGTACGTCCGCGGGCGTAGTGGTCCAGCCTCTCGACGATGGGCTGCAGGTTGGGCACGACCTGGATCCCGCTCGCGCCGTTGCCGATCACGGCCACCTTCTTGCCCGTGGGGTCGAACTCCGGGTCCCAGTTGGACGTGTGCCGCAGGACGCCCTTATAATCCTTGATGCCCGGGTAGTCGGGCAGCTGGAAGGCGTTGAAGCGGCCCGTCGCCGTGATGACAAAGTCCGCCTCGTGCAGCGAGGGGCTGCCGCCGTCCGCCGCCGCCCTCGTCGACACCGTCCACGTGCTCTTGTCGGCTGACCATGTCAACCCGTCGACTCTGCGACCGAATTTCGCGTACTTGTATACATCATACTTCTTGGCGACCCCTTGCCAATACTCCTTGATTTCTTGGCCCGGCGAGAATTGGTCCGACCAGTTCACGTTGGGCTCGAACGTGGACTGGTAGGCGTGCGATGGAATATCGCACCGCACGCCTGGGTAGACGTTTTCCAACCAAGTACCGCCCTACAATGTAGTCAGTTTTTTTTTCTCTTCTCGTTTCATCGCTCGTTTCTCTACTTCTTCTCCTCCTCGTCTCATCCTCGTCTGTTCCATTCTCTCTCCCTCTCCCTCCCTCCCTCTCTTCTTCTCTCGTTTTCTTATGATAAGAGGCAAGACTTACAAAGTCATGGTTCTTCTCGAAAATTGTAAGCTCTATCTTGGGCACCTTGACCGGGAGAAGTACTCCGGCCAGAACACCTGTGAGTCCGCCGCCTATGACAACCACGCGCAGGGGTCGGACGTCGTCGATGAAACGGTTCACCAGTTCCAACCTCGGGAGGGGGATGCTGGCTCCCTTCTCATCAACACCCAGGCCTTCGTGGTTGGGGTACTTTGCTAGGCTTGGCGTGAACCCGTTTGCCGTAGGTTTCGGGGCCGCGCCGGCGGTGACATCCTCCCTCACGCCGATGGGCTGCAATTCCGGCTGGTCTGTAATCTGGACTGTTTCGGTAGCCATGGTTCGCGATATTCCCCAACGCCGACGGCATATATCTTCTTCATTCACTCAACGACAAGATCAGGAGCAGCTACACCTTGAACAGGGGGCCGGCCTCTCTTACATTGAAATTTATCCCGTCCCCCGCCGCGGGGTCGACGTTCGAGCCGGTGCCTGGCTTGGTGGTGTTAGCAGTCGATTCAAGCACGCGAGCACGAGAATGCATTGCGTCTTGGGCTCAATCGCTCCCACACCTAGCGTCCCCACGTAGAGAGGTGGGTGGGGTTCGTGAACAGATTGAGACCGAGAGCGATGGAGAGGCAGTTTATCAGGTGGCTTCTATTGGTGTCTGGTGACGCAATCTGTCGGCACCGCACGGTGTTGCAGTATTGCTCGTTGATGATGCGATGGATGATGAAAATTCCTAGCGTCTCCGTGTATAACGGATACATGTACTGGCGTTATCATTATCGTAACCCTCACCTCCGCTTTCGCTCTGTCGTCAACCATGCCTCTATGGTGTACTTACCAAGGGCACTCGTAATCGTGATTGAATCTGCTGGAAGAGCATTACCCGGCGGGTCGATGGAACGTTGGATAATACGGAGATACCGTTGCGCATTGTGCGCACCAACACGAGGGCAGTCGTAAGCGACGCCGGGCCAAGTCCACTGTCAATCATTACAACGACTCATGTCAATCCCAACCGTCGACGAAGACGATCAAGACACATTGCGATGAAGACACGATGCGATGATGATCAACATGTGCTCGTAGAGGTTCGTAGGGAAAATACAGATTTATAAATTTTTTTGATTACATCTAAACCTTGACGACGAGTTTCCCGCCAGAAATCTCCCCGTTTCTCATACGATCTAGAGCAGCGTTGACGCTCTTCAACCCTTGCTCGACCCCGAGAATATCTGGTGGAGAGAGGATGCCCTTCTCCAGGATACGGCCAAGCCAACTAGCGATGGGGGCTCCAATCTCGGGAACCTCGTGGAACAGCTTTATGGGGACCGCGTGGAAAGCGTAGCTCGGTGACGATGGGCATTTCGGCAGGCCCGTCATACCCACTAGATGCGCTCGGGACGTGGACTTGCCCGGTGTGCCGGGAGGGGTGGGCGGGTTCTCCGTCTTGCTGTCCAAATGCAGCTCGGCCTCCTCTTCGGTGAGGAGAGAGCGTAGTAGATGGGTGGCCGTCTCGCGGCCTCGGGTGTCGAGTCCGGCGCGTACCTTCCCCCTCGTGGCCCGGCGGATGATATCGACGGCTCTCTGGGGGTCGTGGCTGTCAACGAGGAGGTCCGGGCGGATGTTCTTGTGCGCTGACAGCCATGCGCCGTGCTTGGCATGGTCCACCACGACGGCGACCTTGAGGCCGGCAATCTTGGCGAGCTGGATCGTCATGTTGGCCGACGTGGCCGATCCTGCAGAGGCGTTCAGCAGAGAACCCTTCCCGAGAGGGAGGAAGGGAGAGGGGGGGAGAGGGGGAGAGAAGGGAGAGAAGGAAAAGACGCGGTTCAAGGCTCACCTCCCCAGACGGCCAGCCAGTCGCCGGGCTTCAGACGCTCGCTCTCTTCGATGCCGTTCAACGTCTCCCTGCGTACGTCCTCGGGAATCTTCTGGGAGTCGATCGATCGGACCAATCGAAACAGGTCGGGCCCACCGGCTATCGTCGAGAAGTCGAGTCCGAGCGACACACCCAGTGCCAGAACTGCGGCGACAAACGCGACTCCCACGGCGGACCCTTGCTCGTACGTCAAGTTTGGCGGGAGGGCGACGAGGTTGTAGTCGAGCCCGACTGCGAACTCCTGGTAGGCGCCTTTTCGAATGTCACGGTAATCCGTCGATATCGCAATCACCTTCTGCCCAGCCTTCCATTGTTTCGACCCATTCGTCGCGCGGACCACCTCTCCCGCAAATTCCCTGCCGGATACATAGGGCAGCTCAGGCAGACCAAAGTTGAAGTCGCTGTGTGGGTAGAGGTGTGTGAGTAGCGAATTGAGTGAGGAGAGAAGATTGGGGAATTTGGCGGGAGGGAGTTTTTTTTTTTTTTTGGGGGGGGGGGGGGG